GGAGTCTCATTCTGTCACCCAGGCTGGATGGACTGCAGTGGTGCCATATCGGCTCACTGCAACCTCCACCTCCTGGGTTCAAGCGATTCTCCTGCCTCAGCCTCCCGAGTAGCTGGGATCACAGGCGCCCACCAACATGCCCAGCTGATTTTTGTGTTTTTAGTTGAGACAGGGTTTCACCATGTTGACCAGGCTGACCTCAACTCCTGACCTCGTGATCTACTCCCTCAACCTCCCAAAGTGCTGGGATTACAGGTGTAAGCCACCATGCCTGGCCACGTTACTTTCCTTTTTTTAAAAAAAAACTTTTTTTGACATTGTTTCAGACTTTCAAAAATATTGAAAATTATATTATGAAGAATTTCTGTGTACGCTTCACTTAAATTCCCCAAATGTAAATACTTCTTATGCTTGCTTTATTTTTCTTCCTCTACTGCGCATGCATGAGATACTTTATTTTGACATGTTTAAAGTTGCAGAGAGGATGTTACATTATGAGTGTTTCCTAAAATACAAGTATGTTTTCTTTCATAACCATAGTAGAACAAGCTATCAATATCAAGGAAATTAACATTGATAAAATGCTAGAATCTGGAGAACTAATTCAAATTTTCCAATTGTTCCACTATTATTGGTTGTTGTTCAGAATTCATTCCAGGATCATGTTTAATTGTCTGACATTAATTTCTGTAAAATAGAGCTGTGATGCTGGCATTCTGTTCAAACATCTTTATTGTCTTGCTTTGTCACACGAACCAAGTAAAAAATCGTCTCTCATATGAAATTATCCTTATTAAATGTTTAGCTTATCTCTGCAGATGTTTCTCACACTACTACTCTTCTCATATCCTAAACTCCACTCAAACTGATTTAGACAATTTTATATCACAGTTAGTAGTGACTGGAGTACCAAGTTCAGCCAGTTCCTTTCCTTTGAAATAAGTGGTTAATTTGATGTTTCACTGTTTCTTTCAAATGGACCAGGCTTGGATGTTAAGTGTCTTCAACTAATTATTTGAACTAATATGTATTTATTCAACATTAGATATTTTTACTTTTTTATTGACACATAATACATGTACATCATTTTAAGGCACATATGATAATTTGATACATTTTCACATCATCAGATCAGGGTAATTAGAGTATTCATCACCTTAAATATTTATCTTTTTTATGCTAAGAACATTAGAATTGTTTTCTTAGCTATTTTGAAACGAAATAGATTAATGTTAACTCTAGGCACCCTATTGATCTATTGAATACCAGGTCTTAATTCTTCCAACTGTATGTTTGTTTCCATTAATTAACCTCTCTGCATCCACTCCTCCCTACTACCCTTCCTGTCTTCTGGTAACCAGCAATCTACTCTCCCTTTTCATGACATCCACTATTTTAGCTCCTACATACAAGTGAAAATATGTGATTATTTTTCATCTTATGGTTTCATCTCTAGTGAATAATGAAGTGAAAATACTTTCCATTACATATGCATTGCTCAAATTAAGCTTCTTTAAAAACAACTCAGTTATTATTTATACTACTGAAAATTTCCATTTATATAAATAAGTATAAAATTTAAAAATACCAAGCCTAAAATGAGAAATAGTTTGAAATATTTTATAGCCTTTACTCAATGCTTACTTGATAGAATATTATTGCCTTGTTTTAGAATAGCAGATTTATTCAAATTATTTTTAAATAATTTCATATGTTTATGACATATATTAATAATTTAGCATTCACTCTCATTTTTGAGTGAAGCTAATCTTAGCTATTTAAGGGTTAGGGTCAAGATCTTTCAAAGCATCAGCCACATCACTGGAGTAATGCTTGCAGACTTTCATGTGATTAATATTAATGGAAAATATGGATGCCAATATCACAATGGGTTATACTCTGTGTATGTACCATATATGCATGAACTTGGTATTTTATGCTTTGATACATTTTGTGTTATTTCTACATATGTATCTAGATATATATTATATATGCATTTGCATTATTTTTATATGTCCTTAATAAGAACAATGAGAAAGTTTATGAATTTTGTTCCAGTTGGATTTTGTGTTTTCCAAACAGCAAGGATATTTTCATTCCCATATCACTCCAAGTTTCTTAACTCTCACATATCACATCCAAAGCAATTCTTTCTAAATCCTCTAAGAGAATACTAAACAAGAATATTGTAAATTATTAAATATTTATTGGCTACTTCATATGTTAAAGGCCTGTGTTAGCTAAAAACTGTAAAGATAAATAAATCCTAGCTTCTACTTTTAAATGATAGATAGTCAATCATGTGAGAAGGAAAGATACACTAAATATACAAATTGCTATAATACAAATCAGAATATAATACATATTATTTTAAACACAGAAGAAACAAACCCATTTGTCTATTAAAAAAAAACCTGTTTTAAAAAAGAATAAAAACATTTTAATACAGTTAAGGCAATTTTAAATACATCATAGAATTTTGAAGCTAGAAATTTGCTAAAAGTAAATAAAAATATGAACTGTAAAATGCAGAAACATTGCAAATGAAAAATCTTAAAGTGTTATTTGAATTTTATTTCCTAGTTAACATTGCTGAGGAAATAATGAGCAGTAGGCAAGTTTTCCTTCCCTGATGAGGTAATGCACTTTAGCTAATGTTTGTTTCTTAACTAAAACCCACATCTGATCTTAATCCTATAACTTGAAACAATTTTCAGTAAATCCCAATTTGCAGCCTGCAGCAATTGCAGTTCAATTAATATCATTGACAGTGACGTGGCCAAAAGGAGGGTAGAAACCCCCATGGTTTAGCAAGACTTGCAATCAAACTACAGGTCCTTAGCAATTACCTCACTGAATAGAGATTTTATTAGTCAATTAGCATTGCCTCACCCCATCCCATTGATGACACATAACAGAAACCCGTTTTTGTTAAATGGTAAACAAGATAAAGAAGCAAAAGAT